TGGAAACTGTTCTCAAAATGCTTACTCTTCCCCTGCATTTTGAAATAAGAAGAATGATTGGGAGAATTTTTTTTTAAAAACTCCATAACAGTGAGTTGAACAATACATTTAAAACTAAGTCATGTTTAGCGGCAAAAGCTCTATCTAAAACAAATTTACTTAGATTAAGAATACTCAAACATGTCAAATCAATTTTATCTTTCTAAAATCACTATTATCTAGGAAAAGTGAATCCAAACATTCAGTGTCATTCTTTGTAGCATTGCTAATTTACTATTCTATAAAGTATTTGCTAATTGAATTATATGGTATGATTTATAAACCAAAATTGATTTAGTCAGATTGTTGAAACGCAAGTCTTCTGATAGGAAGTTTTCCTATCAAAGCTATGAACTACGGTTTCTACACTAAAAGAGAAAGAACATTAAATTGACTAAATAAAATAAAGGAAGATAAAAGATTTTTTCATTTGATTTCTTGATATCTAATGCCTCAATGAGACTACAATATATAATACTTCTAATGATAATAACTTATAGACCCAACACTAGTAAAAGCCCAATTCAACAAAACATCCAAAACACAATAACAACTAACATTATATATCTAATTAAAATATCATTGCCGCCGGGTTCACATTGAACCTTTTCCTCAAGGTTCTAAAATTACTCCCGGATCCCAACGGAACGATCATAACAAACAAAGTCCAACCAATAATGTTGTTGCCATTTTCCAAAACAAGAAAATATGAAAACAAGGACTGTTTTTAATGTCACTGGCGAGCCGCCCAGAAGGCATGTAAACAAAGACAGGATGACTTGCAGCCTTGTGGAGATTGAGGAAATAACTACATCCATAAGATGTATATGCAACTACTCCCAAAAACTCTACAGTAGGCCAAAATACATTCTCAAAATATAGAATAATTTTGTTCTCAAATTAAATTGTCTCAAACACTTCACCAACTTTTGTGATCAATTCCCTGGGAACTTGAGTCCGATCCTTATTAAAAAGTGCATAACATTCCAAAACATGATCATAGAGCACAAAGTTATCCCCATAATATAACATGTCATTGCCAGGTATCTGTGTATTTGCATGATATGGCAGAGTCTTTTGTCATAAAGTTGTCAATAATAATAGGATAGCAGGAAAAATCTGTGTCTGCATCTTTGGATCAAACCATGATTGGGAGCTGATCAATGAAAATACGATATGTGGGAAATAGGTAACCGGTAGACTAATATTACCCGGGGAGTTCAACTCTCAATGAAAGCACCAATTGATAGGAAGTTTTTCTATCAAAGTTATGAACTAGGGTTTCTACACTAAAAGGGGAAGAATATTAAATTGATTAAATAAAATAAAGGAAGATAAAAAACTTTTTCATTTGATTTCTTGATACCTAATGTCTCAATGAGACTACAATATATAGTATTTCTAATGATAATAACTTATAGGCTCAAACATTAGTAAAAGCCCAATTCAACAAAACATTCAAAACACAATAACAACTAACATTAAAATATCTAATTGCACCTTCTATCATCTTTTCTAGAATATTTTCTGAAGTTTTACATCTGACCTGCAGGCTACGGAGAAGGTTGCCCTATTTCTAGTTTTTCTAGCTGCAGTGTTTGCTTTTATTCCTCCAAAATACATATTTTTGGTGATATTCATTGAATGTTACACAAGGGAGATGCCATATAGGAAAGAAAGTAGCAAAAGATGGATAAGGCGGATTAGAGAATGGTGGATCAGAATACCTGCTGCTCCTGTTGAACTTGTTAAGCCTGATGAGAGCAAGAAAAGAAAATGATATTGGGTTACACGATACTGGCAAAGGTTGACAATATTTCTGTGGTAACTGTCATCTCATTTATTAACAGAATATTCTGATCTATTTGTTCTTTTGTCAATTCATTCATTTTGTATTTGGCATCAAGTTGTATATTCTCTCGCCTCTCTTGTGTTTCCCCTATTCAATATTAAAACCTTAGGTAAATTGAAATTTTAAACTCTTGATTGGGATCATGGTGTTACAAACCATTATTAACTTAGTTGTTATAGTACAGAAATATGTCGGGTGATCTTTAGCGAGATTTAAAGGATCTATACAAAATAAACCTCTTTTTATTGTCATTTTCCCGACATACGAAGTGATCTTAATGTCTAAGTTGGACGTGAACCACTTAAGAAAAACACAACTTTGTTAAATAGTAGTTATTAATGGTTTTATTTTGCCTTACAAGTTTTGCTTGGGAGAATAACGGTGTGTTTGGATTAGCGATTACAAAATTGATTTTAATAGAATTGAGTTTGGTAGATTTGAGATTAGCATAATTGATTTATGTTTGGATATATTTATGTAAAAGTGAGTTGAATAATAAATTTTAATATAAATATCATCCTGAATCAATTATGGAGGCAGAAGCTATAAATTTTAGTTTCAAGTAAAATCAATTATGAAGACAGAATCAATTCTATTTTTGTTTAACCAAACATCTCAAAATCATTCCGAATTAATTTTGCACTTCTAGAATAGCTTTTGTCCCTTCCAAAAGTCAAACCAAATATATATTAAGTCTCACATAAAATTGATTCTAGTAAAATTGAGTTTAACAGAATTGATTTATGTTTGAATACATTTATGTAAAAGTGAGTTGATCAATAAATTTCAGTGTAAAAATCATTTAGAATCAATTTTGGAGACAAATTACAAATTCTAGCTTCAAGTAGAATTAATTTTAAAGACGGAATTAATTCTATCTTTGTCTGATCAAACATCTCAAAATTTCTCAGAATCAATTATGCACCTCTAGAATTGCTTTTGACCATTCCAAAAGACAAATCAAACATACACTAAATCTAACTTTTTTTTTACTAAAAGCGAAAGACCAAATGAAGCCCTAGCCTATTTTTAGTGTTCCTATTTTTAGTGTTCCTATTTTTAGTGTTCGTAGCCAACCAACCAACCTACTTATGTGGGTATATCCGGGAATCATTTTAATGAGGGAAAATAAATTTTTGAAAGAATTTAAAATGAGTTGATCAAAATCTATTGTTTGGATAAAAAATATAGATAATTGTTAAAATGATGTAAATTTATGAAGCATTTTATTCAAGTCAAATTTAAGGAAGTTCAAATGACACTAAAAAGTAAAGAATTTGAGATTGCTCCACCATAATATTAATGTTAAATTGTTTATTATTATTTTTTAAAATTTTGCAAATTGGTCCTCACATTTTATGAAAACTACAAATTTATCCTTAAAATTTTCAAAAAATTCAAATAAATCCATAAATAATTTTCAAAATTTTACAAATTGATCCTTTAAAACTTTACAAAATTGCAAATTGATTCCTATTTTTCATATTTTAAATTTCACCCAAAAGACTATAAATTTATAAAAATGACCGTAAAAATTTAACAATAATCATTTTAATACTCCATCTAAACAAAAAAATTTAAAATTGAATGAATTTAATTGAATTATTTGAATTGCTTAAAATTTTGTATTTCTTAAAAATTTCCAATTATCTCATCCAAACACACTCTTATAATATTCACATTGATATCAATTATTTCCAATAAGGCAGATAACACGTGTCTACTATCCATATTCATGAATATCTATTTTCAACCTTTTCCCCTCTCACCTTACAAGCACAAACACCCTCCATTGCATCTCAAACAATTTTGACTGAAGAATAATGATTGTACCTGATCAGAAGAGATCGTCGATGGCTAACAAATTTGGACTGAGCGACAGTTGAAAGTGAAATAGGGGTACTTGCAAGATACTCAGATGTCAAAATAAGGTTCAGAACAGAATACAAGCAATGAAAAGTGTGAAGGATGATGCACCTAGCCCTCTAGTGCAAAAGGATATTTATAACTTCCATCGTTGGGTCAAGGTCCCCATATTGGGTCGACTGGGCAGACCCACAATGGAGACTGTCAGGACCTACGTGTGTAGTGGAGACTAGCACGTGGTCTCTTTCCTAGGTGAATTTCCCCGAAAAACTTGAAAGAAGCAGTCTTTTCGAGAGCAAGAGGATTTCGTGATATTCAGAGTGACGTTGATGGTGAACCCTACGAGGAGATAGCGTCCTCGTCGGACACGTTGATGTGATGTTCCCGTCAGATACGTTGAGAAGAGGTCCCCGACAAATACACTCGAGAGGAACGCAATGTGTGCACGTGTCGGGGAGGATGACCTCGACAAGAGCCTGGAGGAGGAGTCATCCAACGGTCACAATTATGTGGACCGCTGTATTGGGCCTTTTTTCTAACAGAAGTGGATTGTAGCCTTACCCTGAACGCAAATCCAGTCTAAAACAAATATAATGCTACTAAATATTATTTTTTTAATTGATGGAACAAGATGAAGTGATATGAAATGTGATTTTATTGTTTGAGTTTTTTTTAAAATGAATGGAATGGAGTAATGATCTGGAATCCAATCATTATACTTTGCTTATTCCTCAATTTGGGATATATATATATATATATATATATATATATATATATATATATATATATATATATATATATATATATATATATATATATATATATATATATATATATATATATATATATATATATATATATATATATAATGAAAACCAATTTATTATTTTTGTAACTACAAAATTACCCCCATTCACCATTGCACCTTCTTAAATACCATATGTAAAAAAACTAAAATACTCTTTGATTTCAGAAATATATATCTAAAACTATTATTTCTCATAATTTTTTACACAATTCAAATATAGTATCACAACTTAATACAGGTTAGCATAACATCGTACACAGTTATATCAACTCACCAATTCAAATCAAAATTTGTCACAACATTTCACCACAGGATCTTGACAGAATTTCGACACAATAATTTTGGCACAACATCACAATCAATTTAAACAAATAATCAACAACATCACAGTTATGGAACGAAGTAACAGGGTATCGAATTTACCGAATTGAATCGATGTTGTCGAAAGCTCTGAATCACGACGGAAAGAGCAGCTTTGAGCGAACAGAGTCGAAGCCGGTGTTGTGGTTGTTGACGTCAGAAAACTTTGATGTTGGTAGAAGGCGAAGGTTGTTGGGTTGCACTGAGACGATGAAGACAGATAATCGTGGATCTGCTTGCAGATACAGGTGGTTGATTCATTGAGTGAAGGGTGATTCCGGATGGTAGTGTGGCGGAGATGGAGGCAGCAATGCTTGATGAAGATAATGGCGGACGAGCTGAAGGAGGTGAGTGGATTCGAGATATTCAGTTTATGTGAATCGTGCAGAAGACGGAGCTGCTATGGCAGTTAACATAGATGATCGAAGATGATGATGGAGGCTGGATGAAGGGTGAGTCGACGGTGGAAAGTCGTCGGAGATAGTTGTGAGATGGAGGGTACTGTGAAGAATGGAGTTCGTAGCAGAGAGGAGTATGATAGCTAATGGCAGCGGAAATGTTGTTCAAAATTCAACTTTATCCCCCTAAATCCTCTTGGCAAATGATCATACAAACCCTTATTAGATATTTCTAAATTTAAATATAAAACAGAAAATAAACAATATTTTTTTTATATAAATTTTTATAATTTTAAAATTAAATTTAAATTAGAACTTAGATGAAAGATATAAGTTATTATGTGTAAAAATATTGTTTTAGGTCTAATTTGGGAGATTGAAAAATGTGAAAAACGAACAGAAATCATTCTGGTGCGATATTAGTTTTCTGAAAAACGTTGGTTGACCGTACGCGTATGGTACATGTATGAGGGAGTGCCCCGGGGACTGTACGCGTATGATATGTGCCCTGTCCCCAGAACCAGTATGACCATCTGCTGGTACGCGTATGGTACGCATATGGGGAAGTGTCATACGCGTATGAGAGTTATCATAGTGAGTTGAGAGGAAAAACGTCTATGGTGATGTGCATATGATACGCGTATGGAGCGTGGTTGTTTTGGATTTACGCGTTTGATACGCGTATGAGATGGGCGGAGGGATAAGCCGTACGCGTATGGTACGCATATAGGCAGGATGATATGCAGAAATTTTCATTTTCGCGATTTCTTTCCCGTTTTCGTGTGCGGTGTAACTTTCCTTGGTTCGTAATGAATAGTGTGACTTGAGTAGATATAGGAAGGCTAGTAATAATGGATATTGGATTAAAAACATGGAACCTTGTGTGGATTGGTATGTTGCATGATGATGATAATATTGGTGGCCTTATTGGCAAATGTAGCAGGCTTATGCCTTGTGGTTGTATAGTTGTGGTGTTGCATATTGATGATGAATGCATTCATTGGTGAGGACTTATGTCCTGTTGTTGGCATGTAATAGTGTTACATTGAGGGCTTATGCCTTGTTGCTACCCTATATGGCATTATGTTGAGGGTCCATGCCCTGATAGTACCACATACATTTAGTTGTTGTCAGTTACATTGCATTGCACTATCTTGACTCGATGTCGTGTTATATGAATGAAGAATGTGTTGTGAAGTATGGTGTGAAATGTGCATTTTGTGATTTATATGAATTGTGTGAATTACTACTCCTTAGCATATGACATTCATCATATATTTATTGAATGTAATTCTCACTCCTTTTCTATTGTTTTGTCTGTGCTCATCGGGGAGTACAAATAACTAGGTACCCGAATAGTACTTGGAGTGAGTGTTGTTTGACCGAGTCTTAAGAGTCGCTCTCATACGTAACACATGATTTGGGGATTTGCTATGTTTTTGCATTGTTTTTAATTGTTACGTATCTTAATTCATGATTATGATGAACCACACATTTTGTGGAAGTTTTTATTATTGTTGAGGCTTTAGCGCCATAGAGTAAATTAAATTGAGTTTTTCAGTTGCTTAGTTGATTACTATGAATAAATGAAGTAATAAAGCGGCTTGAGACTTTATGGATTTATTTGAATGATGTGACATCCCATTTGTGGACTCTGATGTATTATTCTGCATATTTTATTATAATTATTATTATGGGAAAGTGGGGTGTTACAATTGGTATCAGAGCTTGGTTGTTCCGTCCGGCCAATTTGTCGAGTCAGTAGTGTATTGTGAAAGTTTTCAAACTACGAGATCTAGCATTCCCGTCAGCATTTGGCTTATTCTCCAGAGCATGCGACATTGCCTCTAAAGTAGCAGCAAGTGCAGCGTCATTCCTTCCATCCATCTCAACTTATCTCTACACATAAATAATGGTTAGAACTCAAGGTAACGATACTCGAATGTTAGACACAACTACGACTCGACAACTTGGTCGGACATACCGACTTACTCTGATATCAACTTGTAACACCTCAATTCTACCCAACAATTATTATAAAATCAGAGTTATAAAAATTCAACAAATAAATTAGGATGCTACAATTTCAACGTAATACAACGGTATTCATTACAGATAGATAACACATTAAACTTGGATGAACTAACGGCAACATAATTTAATCTTTTGAAACCAACAACTTTCATAACTATGCAACGGAAAATCATAATATCCAACTTAAAGGACATATCATCTTGTCCAACTGGAAACAACTTTAAAATGACAAGTACTTAACAAAAACCAACTTAAAATTCAGCAACAGAAGTAAAATTAGCAATAAATCAATAAGCGTTCACCCCCCCCCCCCCCCCCCCCCGAGTGTTACGTATCAGAGCAATGACACTGACTCGAACTACTGAAGGTAAACCGCTTTCACTCTAGATTACATGCACGTTACCAACATCGGGGTAACTGTTTACCTGGGGATTTGGTAAACAACCGCTGATCCTCCAAATGGTTACTTATTTGGTTACTCGCAGGATCGATCAGATTGATCCTATGGACATAGGTTGATTTTGAAGTTTAATTAATGTGGATAAGGCTTTAAGTAAATTGTTTAAAGTAAATTGCATAAAGGAAAAGGCTTGGTAAAATAAACGAGGCTTGAATGTAAAGGTTCGACAGGAATCTTAAAGGGAAAAAGCATGTAAAATACTGGAAAAGTAAATGACTTGAATTGATTAAATTGGTGTTTCACACATACATTTCTCAACAATTCGTTCGCTCACACTGGGTACTTGAATCTAAATGAGTGACTATGTATCTATTGTGAACACACGCGAGAAACTACACGTCTACTCCTATTTATACAAAAACATTCCAAGTAACCGTCGGGCAGTTACACTGCTTCGAGATCAAGCCACTTGTCACGTTCTCCATGCTCGACGCTCCAGATCCTTGCACGTTCGCACGTAGTAACTGCTGGAAACCGTTTTCCCTCCAAAGCTTTGAATTTCAAACTGCTCCACTCTGGACCATCGAACACGTTCGTCAAGAGACGTCTTCGACGAAAACTCCTTCGACGTCGAAGGCAATCAGCCTTCTTCCTTGGAAGAAATCTTCTAAGTATTTGGCCATCTTTCGACGGGCACTTCGACAGGCTTAACCAGTCGAAAGCATCTTTCAGCTTTTAATGGCTGTCATCAATTGAAACAAAGGTGTCGAATTTAGGAGCCAACAAATTGCCCCCCAAGAATGCCTTATTTCGACTCTTGAAAGAAAAAGGCATTCTTTGAAAACGCCATTCGACACCTGTTTGTCCACGCTGAGTCACAAGTTAACTTGTGCACTTTTTGTTGCTTTTTACCAACTATTGGCAATCCCAAGAAACCATCATTGATTTGATCCTAGGACGTCACTGTCAGTACGGCGTGCAGAACCAAAACATCACTTCATAATTTGTCATTATGACAAATTCAAAAAACGAGGACGCACGCTGCGTCTCTCTGTTTCTGCAGAAACGGCCAAAACAACAGGATGCTGCCACGCGTCCCACTACTCCCTGCAGCATTAAATGACATTTAATGCCCTCGTTATTGGGAATTTCTCCCACTACTATAAATAGTAGTGAATATCCCATTGTGGGACTTTTCACGCAAACAATCTCTCAAACTCCCTTGCTTTCTTGCAAACCTGTTTCTCTTTGCAGAAAAACTCTTCCTTTTCCAACTTCATCTTCATCCTCAACAATGGCTTCTGCTTCAACTGCCCCCAAGACTAACGCACCAACTGAACAACTTGCTAAGCCCAAGGTTTTTGTAACCGCTCCGGTAGTGAACGCTACAGGGAAACGAAGGGTCCCTGAACCATCTGATATCTCCGTCCGCGACGCTTACTCGCGTCACTTGATGATTCCGGTTGGATACTCCAACCAAATCTTCGCAATGGCTGGACCCATGAACCCCAGCATCTCTGAAGCTCTGAAGATCAAGAGCTACTTTCCCATTGTCGAGAAGCTCAAGCCAGTAGCTTGTGCTAAGAAGGATCCAGAAGACAACGAAGACCCCACACACGAGAAGATCGACCTTCGTTTCTTCAACAGAAGTGTTAGAGTTTTTAGGTCTTGCCCTAATCTCACCCAAGACTACGTTGCTTGGCTAACAAAGCTGGAAAAACATCAAACTCCGGTCTGGAAGGAGATGGGCATCTTTGACCTAATAATGCTGTCGAAGACAGGTTTAAACTACTCCCCAGAGATGCTTATAGCTTCGATGCTGTTCTGGGATAACTCTCACTTCACCTTTCACCTCCCATGTGGGATGTTAACTCCCACACTCTTCGACGTAGCAGCCATCACTGGCCTTCGACCAACCGGAGATTACTTCGACCCGGAAGAGATGTCGGAGGACCAAATTGGCTTTTCTGAGACGAAGCCAACATTCACCACCTTTATCAACCACTTTCATGACAAGTCGACAGACACAGTGTCCGACGTTGAACACATAGCGTTTCTAGCCTTATGGCTAACTCGCTTCGTGTTCTGTTCGAAGTCCCTGCAAGTGACCAAAAAGATGGTCACTCTGGCCACCCAACTGCATCACCGTCAGAACATCTGTCTGGCAGAACTAATTCTGGCCAGTCTTTATGACTCCATCAGCAATGGGGTTACTCTTTTGAAGCATATCGAAGATAGGAACAGTCTGCTACTCGCTGGGCCTTTCTGGTTACTTCAACTGTGGCTCAACGCCACTTTCGAATCCTTCTTACCCAAGAAGAATCAGATAACCGAACAAGCCCCAGCGATAGCCAATAGACGGATCGAAGGAATTAGGCTGGCTCTACTGACGCCTATGGAAGATGGGCTAGAGTTCCAACAAACCTTCACTAACTTCGTGCTGATGTTCGCTCGAAGGAAGGAATTTGTTTCGACTATGGCTCCATTCGCTCAGCGAAAGGTGGGGCCAGCTTGGTTCACAAGGCCACATCCCAAGGAATCGAGTGG